AGAATATGGCTCTTCAAATGACGGACGAAATTGGAGGTTGTCATCTGACTGTCCGCGATCTTAACGTTGCATGTCTTGCAAAGCGCTGTTCTTTTGCCATCTTGTTGTAAGAAATTCTTGAATCCAAAAGCGACGACGACCCTCGTTATCCCTCCGGCTGACATGTTGATGTGATCTGATGTAAGTGGGCGTGGTGTGCGCGTAAGGTATGAGAAGGCATGACTGATGATCTCTGATCCAGTCATGACAGCGCTATTCTCAGCCTGCGCTCCAGCTGGATCAACTTTTTTTTTTTTTTACATAATTTACATAACAAAAGGTTACAAAATAATAATAAATATAGCTGCGAGCAGCGATGGCGGGCCCAAGCCGGTGGCACCGCAACCCCGGTTCCTTTAGTTACCTAAAGGCACCCGGGTAGCGGTGCCGAAGGCTTTGGCCCTTTTATGATTAAATGTTAAAACGGCTTGCCATACTCTGTCATTTCGACTAGTCACAATTATGTTACAGATGTCTTAAATGATAATACAAACTATCCAAAATGTAATTACGAATAGACAGAAAGACGTTGTTGATATCTACAATGTTAATTCCGGACAGGCAAACTTAGCTTTTAAATGTTAAAAGGGCTTGCCATACAGGGACGTAGGCTCAGAGAGAGGCTCACCATATTCAAACCAAAATATCTGACTTCCTCTTGGTCCGAGCTAATGACTATGTATTAGAAAGTTGTCCGGCTTGAGGAGTACAATGTATATACCGATTTTTGTAACTGTAGATAAAACTAACAACCCCACTTTTGTCAAAAGGTGGCGCTATTTAGTCCTTGCACTATGCCCGTTTCTGAAACGTTGCACATGTCTACTGGCTAATAAATGTGATGTATCTGTTGAGTTTCAAGCAATTTCAATTTCAATTTCAATTTGACTGTTGAAAAGAAGTGCGCCGATTAGATACTCAGGATCGGTATCGGCTCTGACACTGCCATCTTTGACGAGGCTGATTCAAATTCTATATTGTGCATATATATACTATTCTATGTTAGGCACAAAGGCACAAAAACTTTCTAAAGTACCATAAAGTTTTTGTGTACTGTATTATTAGTGTTCTGAAGCTATTATGTGATATAGAAATTAATATTTAAGTCATTAAATTCAAGAACACAAACTTTTCCCTCTCTGCGCCTGTCAGTCATTCTCCATTCAGCATTCAAACAGCACGTCACATTCGGTTACAGTCAATGATGAAACGATCTTCAATGATTCAATGTTAATCCTATTATACTGGATCTTTAAGATAAAGGTCTAAAGGTCTATATTTTCGAATGAAGAAACTTTTTCTTGCTGGACTTTATTGCTGTAACTTAATCGTGTTACTTTCTACCGGGTGTCGGACGCTGTCGGTTAGATCACAACACTAGAGTCAGAGCACTATAATTGTTCTTCACGCACACAGTAACTGAAATTTAAAACCTTTAAAAGAAAAGGCTCAATAAACTATTGCATAGATAGATAATGTATAATACACTGTTCATAAATATGTATTTCCTTTGTGCTTTGAACTTTTCAATACGGACTCAATGCGCTGTAACTTCATGTGGCTTCAAGCACATCATTCTCCGCTCGGGATGCACATAAGTGCTTTGTGCTGCACCGTATTGGAGCCGTAATATCATAATGCAGTGACGTAATGACAGATTATTAATTGCCTTTCAATTATATGTTGCTTTATAGCAGCCATGGCTATATTTTTTTTTAATGATTTTTGTTATCTTGTTTTTCATGAATGTATTTTTCAAAAATAAGAGCAATGTGTATTATCTATTATTAATATGGTTTATAATAGCATTTTTGTCATAGATTATGACAAAGTAATCATATGATCCACCAGCGAGGAACCAGCAGAACAGAGTGAACATTCTTTCTGTTTAGTTCAATCCTACTTAATAGGAATTTATTTAAAATGCTCGCTCTACTCCACACCATTAATGTCTTGTGCGGACATCCGTATTTTGACTTTCGGTTTTAAGTAAGCGATTTAAAAGCTCCCAAGTCCCAGCGGAGTCACACGTTGATTAACCGGTGGGAATATACACAATAGGCCTACCTGATATTGAACACAAGAGGGCAGTATAGCACTACGTATGACTCAGATTATTATTTTTTTATGAATTTTACAACAATTCTGGCTGTTTTTGAACGTAAACACAATTCTTAAATGAAAAAAAAGGAAAAATTGGGGAAGTTATAATATTTGTATAATTTAATTTAGAAACAAATGATGTATAATTACATTTTTAGAAGATATGAGGCTTTTAGTGTTTACTTTTTTGACATTACTTTAATCTTTTGCCATAGTTGCACATGTCTATTGGCTAATAAATGTGATGTATCTGTTGAGTTTCAAGCAATTTCAAGCAAGCTAAGAGTCCCAAAAGCATCAAAAAATAATGTTAAAGTTTGTTTCGTTGCCACGGCATTTTGAAAGTGACACACTTCCTGCTGCCAGTTGGTGGCGCTATAACTTTGACTCACAATAGTCACATCCATGTGATCGGTCTCTTACAGCGAAAACACTGCTGAAGTTTCGTCAAGATCAGTTAATGTATGCTGAAGTTATAACACACATCCTGTTCCATGTTTCTCGCCATAATTTCGTTTCCTCGCCACGGCCAAACCGTTCGAGATATCAAAAATCCCGTGGCACTTTTTCATCCTTAATGTCTTGACTTCACGCTGATCGAGTTTCGTCGAATTTGGTTCAGTGCTCTAGGAGCAATAATTTAAATTACATTGCATGTGTTTTAAACACAACCCTAAATAGCCAACTTCCTGTTGGGCTGGGGTAAAAAGTAAGAGTGTGAAGTAGGCTATATATGAAACGATGAGATCTATATGTGTACCAAGTTTCATATTATTACATGCAAGTGTGTTTGATTTATGGACCAAATTTTCAGACCAAGTTTATTGACCAAGTTAATCTGATTAATAAACTAATTATATAAAACTATTGTCAATTCACTACAATTAAACTAGTTATATGCCTTTACTTATAAAAATAAAAAATAAAAACTTATTTAAAAAATACCAGGCTTGAGAAATGTATTTTCTTTATGCAGGTCATACACACAGCAGTGAAATGGTTAAGCCCCCTCCCCCTGCACACACACACACACACAGACAGCCAGCCAGCCAGCCAAAGGCTCAGAGTGGCCATATTCAAACAAAAAATATCTGAGTTTCTGTGGGTCCTAGCTAATAAGTGTCAATTAGAAAGTTGTCCGGCTCGAGGAGTACAATATACATACCAATTTTTGTAACTCTAGTTAAAACTAACCACCCCACTTTTGTCAAAAGGTGGCGCTACTGAGCCCTCACCACGCCCGTTTCTGCAACTTTGCACATGTCTACTGGCTAATAAATGTGATGTGTCTGTCGAGTTTCATGCAATTTGAAGCATGCTAAGGGTCTCAAAAGCATCCTAAAAGCATCCTAAAAGAAGGGCAAGTTTGATGCGTCGCCACGGCAACAGTTTCAAAGATATCAAGAATCCATTCACAGGTCTACATCTGCCGTATGTTTACATTATACAGATGAAGTTTGAAGCAAATCGGGTAAAAATAAAAGGGTGATTTCAAAGCATTTTGAAAGTGACACACTTCCTGCTGCCAGTTGGTGGCGCTATAACTTTTACTCACAATAGTCACATCCATGTGATCGTCCTCTTACAGCGAGCACACTGCTGAAGTTTCATCAAGATCAGTTAATGTATGCTGAAGTTATAACACACTTCCTGTTTCACGTTTCTCGCCATGATTTCGTTTCCTCGCCACGGACAAACCGTTCGAGATATCAAAAATCCCCTCGCAAACTTTCATCCTCAATGTCTTGACTTCACGCTGACCGAGTTTCGTCGAATGTGGATCAAAGCTCTAGGAGGAGTATTTCAAATACCATTGCGAGCGTTTTTACAAACAAACCTCAATAGCCGACTTCCTGTTGGGCTGGGGTAAAAAGTAAGAGCGCGAGGTATAGATGAAACGATGAGATCAACATGTGTACCGAGTTTCATATTATTACATGCAAGCGTGTTTGAGTTATGGACCGAGTGTTCGGACCCCGTTCCAGGGGGCGCTGACGAGCCCCCCTGCCACGCCCAGGTACCAGCTTCAGCCCGGCTCTGATGGCCGCGGGTTCTGACCCGTGTGCAAAGTTTCAAGAGTTTTCGAGCACGTTAAGGGCCCCAAAAGTGCCCAAAAGGTAGTAAAATAATAATTATTATAATAATAATAGAGAAGAAAAATAATCGCAAGGAAAACAATAGGGCCTTCGCCCTTTCAGGGCTTGGGCCCTAATTACTTCTAGGTATTAGCCAGAATTGTAATGTCAGTGCATCTGAAGAAAGATTGCAAAAGATGTGGGTTTAAGTCATGCAGCAGCTCCTATTCCCATTCCCCCTCATATCACCATTGTTTCCTGTCATGTCTAAGTTTGCCATGTATAAAGTGGCAGCAGTGCATGAAACCTGAGCAAACACTTTCAAATTAACTTCTGAATGCTTGATAAATGTATAGATTTTTTTTTCCACTGACACATTTACAAACACAAGACTTTTTCATATAAAAGAAGTTTTTTTCTTTTGCCCTCCATCTTGTTTACTTCCCATTTATTTTGGAAAGCTTGTAAAGTGTTTGTAACCTGTTCTTTGTGGATGGTTGACCGCGCAGTGACCTTTTGCATTGGGGAAAGTGGTATGGGTATCTGCCCGCAAAGCCTGATGTCGACGCTGCGAGCAAGAGCTGCAATTAATGCCAAGTGTTTGGGGGCAACAGCGTGGTGGGGTTAGGGGGAGGTCAGCGTCTTACACACAAACACACTCAGAGTAAATGTCGTTAAAGGCCATTTTTTGGTGTGCGTGATAGTGCAGTGTGAATGCCCTCGGGATGCTGAGCTCAGCGAAGAGGGTTGTGTTCTAAATGTTTCTCTCTTTCTTTCTCTCAGCCATGCATCTGATGTGATGGAGACCTCAGGGTGGAAGTCAATGGTGGCGTCTCATCCTCACCTGGTTGCCGAGGCATACCGATCCCTGGCCTCCGCCCAGTGCCCTTTCCTGGGCCCTCCCCGCAAACGCCTCAAACAGTCTTAGTGTCGCCCTTACCGTTACCTAACCCGCACACATGCACACACACTCAACAGACAACTGCCTACAAGAGGGGGGTGCTATTTTAGATTTACAACCCCCCCCCCCCCCCAAAGCTCTGTCCTTTAGATGCCTAAACCAGCTCTTGACCTGCCCCCTTCCTTCACGTTATCCAGACAGACCCCTCCAGCGCAGAGGACCCTGTTTGTTGCTGCCCACCGTCGGTTCCAGTGTTGAGTGTGGAGGCTGCCGCAGGTCGATTTCTGTCCAAAATGTGGCCGACCTCTGCACCAGTCTGGCTATCTGTTCCAGAGAGAAATGATTCTGTTGGACTGGATTCATGAGCGTGGGTGGATGGATCAAGGTTGAGCTTTTTTTGTTTGGGCAGTTAAACGTGAGATGGATTAAGACTGGACTTTTTACGTAACTCCTTCCGCTGGCACTACCTTGTGCTCTCCTTCACTGTGTGAACCGGTTCTCCATTATCGCTCCATCCCTCCTTCAAAAATGATTGGCCGGTAGACATTCCGCTTTACAGTCATGGATGGAGGTTTTGTTCTTTTCGAAAAGGAATAGAGGACAAACTCTGTTATTATTGCGAAATAACTTTTTAATAGGTGGCATGTGTCTTCGTAATGGCGACATCAGCGTTTAGTAGATTCCTGTGACGACAAACAACCTTTTCCAGAACTGTCCTCTGTTTCTTGGGAAAATTGAAACCTAGAACGTTTAATGAACTTTGACTTACAACCCACAAGCTAGCCTGACTTCCAAATGGAGATGTTGTAATGGACTTAAAGTGGTTTGGTCTCCTTTTACAGGGTGAATAAATTGATGAATCCAGTGAGGAGTGTAAAAATGGGGAAATGCTCATGGAACAATTTTTTTTTTTTTTTTTTTTTTCCTTGTGATGTTTATTTGAGATTTTTCCTCCTTGTAGCACTTGTGTATTTGAATCCAGGCTTTCTGTATGAAAAAAAAGCCAAAAAAACACAAACCTGTCTGTGTTTGTGTGTTTCTTCTTGTTTTGTAACAGCCACAACATGTTTGTGGTATGGGCAATTCTTAGCGGTTATCCTGCTTTTGCTGATTTCGTTATCTCTTTATATTTGGTCTCAGTCATGGATTAGACAAATCTGGATCTCTTGCTGAACAGAAAATTGGCTTTTTTAAATAAATAAAAGCCTGTCCGACAGACAACACACAAGGGTTTTTGGTTCCATTAAAGGAATTTTGTACGGGGCTTTATCTTGTTTGTAAAAAAACAACTACTATACACCAAAACAATTACACATAAGTGCTGAGCATACTCACAAAATTGGGTAAAAACATAACCACAAAAAATAAATAAATAAAATGAAACCTTTTCGAAACTGAAGTGAAAAAAAAAAGTTCAACAGAGACCAAGGTCCCAATATATTTCAAGTTAAAACCGTAGAACAAAGAGTGTGACATCGTTCTGAACAAAATCAGGCCAAAATTAAGTACGTTTCGTGTTCATGTCGGGAGTTTGAAACAGCTTGCCAAAGTGAGCTTTCCGGAAAAATGCCATCCTACTACCATTGGTGTGTGGTGATGATGTAATGGGCTAGGCGTGGCTCTGAGACTCCACCTGCTTTGACGTGGAAATCATTTCTTCTTTTTTAGTCCATCGAGGTCTTATGTCTGCAAGTAAAAACAATATATACACTAGACTCGAGAGTTACTTTATTGTAGAAGCTGAATGTGTAATTCTAACTGAAATAGAAACGGACGTTTTTTTGGTAACACTTTATAATAACTACACGCTAATAATCATTAGTTAAGCATGAGTAAACCATTAATTCATCATTCATAAAGCATTAATAGACATTAATAAGCAGTTCAGAAATACAGCTAATGCTTTCTTCTTGATTTAAAAGCATATCTATAATTTGTTTAATCATTGTATTTGCATCCTTTATTAATGATCTTTATCATTTCTAAATGAAGATTGCATTTTTTATGAGCCAGTTATTTAAGAGTTTTCAGTGGTTCATATGATTACTTAGAGCGAGTAAGTAAATGATTAATAAACTATTTAAATGTACATTCATACATCTTATTATTCAGACATATAGTGATGGTTACTTAATGTGTTAATAAATGCTTTATTAACATGTAATTAA